CTGTGCCGGTGTCAAACCGCGGGGCCTTCGCGAGAGGCTTCGCGAAGCCTTTGCAACACACAATGTGTCGCACAAGTGCCTTCGCGGACCTGTGTGGAAGTTCCCGCATCGGAAGGGGGGGGGGGAAAAACACGACTCTACTGACTTCGTCATTGGGTTGGTCGTTTCTTCCTAGAGTCAATCCACCTACCCTGCAGACCACAAACTCAAACTACTCGTTCAGGGTAAGCTGACCCAAAGACCCAGAGTTGCAAGGTTGACCATGACTCAACCTGGACACACACACACATACAAAAGAACCAACCGGCGAAATCAGTTGACTTGTGGCAACTGAGTAGATTCCGAAAGCGTTGACCAACCAGCTCGGGAATGCCACAGTTTAGGCTTCTACCAAACTGCAGACTTCGAAGGAAACACAACTATATAATACTATATATACCCATCCCCTTCAAAGTAGTCTGGCGCACATCTCGATATTTTTACGCCATGGAATATCCAAAGCATACCCCTGAAGCATCCAGTGGAACAAAAACACCTATGCAATTAGGAATGCTTAACCCCACAAGCCTATGATGCGTCAACAGTATGTTCCACATGATTCTACAAACAAACTAACACCGCAGACTGGTTCGCCACACCATTTCGCTCCGTTTCAAATGAACCTGTCAAAGCCGGTTGGACTCGTGTTTCACAATGGTTGGTGTCCTGTTGCTGCCCTTTTTGCGAGAAAAATCACGCCACTCCGATTGGGTCCCAACTCGCTGCTTCACGTGTTGACCCTGCGGGCCCGAGGGCTCGGCGTAGGGCGGCAGCTCCTTGGACTTGCTGGTCTTCACCACATCTGCCCACTTCGGCAGCTCGAAGCGGCCTGCAAAGTTTGCCATCACTGGTGGACTCCGGGGATTCCAAGCAACTTGAAAATGTGCTCAGTGAATCATTCACCAAAGGTTGGGTCAAACACGCAGCAAAGCAGGTTGCGTGCTGCATGCGCTTCACTCCGGGCATCGCGTTGATCCGACAAGTCGAACTCTGCAAAAAAAGGCTGAAACAGAAACTTTCGAAAGGAAGGCGGGGGGCCCAGTGGCATGCCTCGTCTACCCTTCTCCACCAACTCTGCAACGGAACCTGACGAAAGAAGGTCTCTGAGTTGGACCATTTTTTCATGAAGTGGCCTTGTGGCTTGCATGGCAACGTGGGTAGCACATTGGAGTACACCTTTACGGCATGTTGGTCCCGTGACCTGTATTTGAAAATCTGAGTCTGGGCCTTGACGCTTCAGGTGCTGGGAGAAGGACTTGATGAACTTCTCTGGTTCGACGTCCTTCACCGTCTTGATCTTGCGGTCCGCCTGTGATCGGAGCTTTCCTTGGACCCTTTCGTCCCAAGCTTACCCGGACAGCTTGGGTTTGGCCCATCTTGGTGGCATCCAGATTTGCATTGTTCGCTCCTAGTGGGAAATGGCAAGGTCCAAAGAAGTCTAAAAGTGAAACAGAGCCAAGACATCCTCACGAAAGCGATGGCGAGCATGTTTATGGCAGGTACCTTTTGTTCAAGCGGAGGAGGTGTAGGTGTCTTGTCCGCCGATCTTGTGGCCACCTCACGAAACATTAAGGGGGGGAAGAGCCAGGACAACGAAGAGCGAAAAAGATCGGGCAAACAACAAGGACAATAAGAAGCGAAGAGAAGTTGCAAGCCAGGGCAAGAAGCGGTGGCACGCAAACATAGTATCTGAATTATCTCAATTATACGCGTATGTAAATGTTGATTTATTTATTCATATTATGAATGATACATTGCGTGGTTGGTGCTGCCAATAAGCGGACATATACCCCCTCCGACCTAGAAGACTCTGACCGCTGAATTTTCCCTCTCAAGTTGCAGCCTTTGCGAGATTGGGACTCTCAACTCAAGGCTCTCGCTATCCAGGTAACGTGAGAAGAGGGTTGTGCGATGTACTGGCACGTTTTGAGCTGCATTCCTTGCTCGACAGGGTGGCGTCACCCCTGCTCGGCTTTGGTTCAAGGAGGCTCCCCATGCAGAGAATTCAAAGAGCTTCTTGCCAGAACTATTCAAGGGGAGTGTCCCAAGTTTCATCTATCCAGGCGTTGGTTGTGGCTCAGCCTTTTGATTGCCGTTTTAGGGCAAGGGACCAACCTGCATGCTGCAATGCATGCGGGCCTCTCTGAGCACAAAATATCAAGATCCGAGTCGCCCTTCACGCTGCAACAAGGATGCAAATGTTTGTCTAGTAAGGCATACATTCATGCACAAGGGGAACAAACACATAGCTGGCTTCTCTACTTTATTTTCTTGGTCGTCAAAACTCAAACCTAAAACCAGTTGATCGTTCTTACTGCCATGATGGTTGGGACCAGCAACGATGTCGGTGGTTACCAATCGTTGATCGGATTCGCTCACTGAAGCGAACACTGCTGGCCTTGAAGTAGTTGTCAAATTCCTCGATGGACATGGCAAAGGTCTGATGAGACTTGCGGGATACTGAGAAGGTATCAGACCGTAGCCACACCTGTGAGCCACATACGGCCAGATGGCAGGGCATTCTCAACGGAGAGGCCGGGCAAGTCATGGCTGCCAGTGAAACACGGTACAATGACATGCAATGCGTTCACATGGATAGCCCCCGTATCAGGAGCACTGCAGCAAATCGAGAGGCCCCCCCAATCTGCTCTCAAATAAGCCAAAGGCTATCAGCCGTGTCCGCTGCTCTTGTGGCATGAATCCACAGGAAAATTAGCCAAGCGCCGTCCGAGATTGAACTCCAGTCAGGTGAAGTGCCAGCATGCTGCGCACTTTTCACCTCGCGTACATCTCTTGGCCGCGCGCATCCTCTATCACGTCTTCGCCTTCTTCGTCCCCGTACGCTTCGTCGCCGGCTCCGCCATCAAGAAGGGCCGCGTTCGGAAGCCCTCCCCGGGTGACCTGGAAGTTGCCGTCGCTAATGTCGTACTCGTAGTCGTAGCCGCCGCCATCCTCTTCGACCTCGGCCAAAGGCCGCCAAGAGATTTTCCCCGCTTCCCGGGAAACCCGGACACATGAGCAGAAAAACAGAAAGGTGCCCCACGTGCCCACGTGCCAAGAGAATACCCGCCTGTACTCAATCGTCCTTCAGCGTCCAAAGTGACCCTAAAATAGTCGATCCAAGCGCGCGAGCTACAACCTATAGTGTGAAGAGGTACGCTGGATTCCCTGACTGGTTTGAGGCATCTTCCACTTGTGCGGTCTAAAACAGAGCAACCTCAGGCCGCGATTCAGCCAAATGGCGAAACCGCTTCCCGAATCAAATGAGAATGAATTGATGGCCCAGGCTGTGTTGCCGCCATGTTGGTTCGCTGCCACAAACATCCGGTGGGCATAATGCAAACTGACCACCCAACAATAAGGGCTGCCTATGAAGGGAGCATTCATGAGGCTCCGGGTTGCAAACCAAAACCTGTTGTCTCGCGATTGGATTTGCCCGGAAAGGAACAGCGGGGGTTGTTGGTCCGTCCGTTTAAGAGGAAAACTTAAATAAAACTGAAAGAAGGATGGCGATTGCTTCTCTTGGCTCCCGATATTTTTTGTTCAATCGTTCTGATCTGCTAGACTTCATTCCACTGAGTGCCGGGCCAGCGGCTGAAAAGTCCTGGCGAGATGTGCAGCTGGGCTTCCAGGGGAAGCAAGACATGATTCGGGCATGCTGTCACATAGATTCATACATGGCAACAAAAATGCGGGCACAAAAATGCGGGAACCCCCCCCTGGAAAAAAGAATCAACCTTCGCGGAGGCTCGTGCAAGGCTTCGGAACAAGTTTCTGTGGCGTGGTCTCTCAATGGACCCGATTTGGATTTCCTATGGGTCAGTTTGTGGCCATGTCCATAGGTCCATAAGGGCTCCAGGGTGGAGAATTGCAACTTGGTGTCTGATTGCATTCTCGATCCTTGAGCTCTCGATCCCGTGATGGCATGCATTGTAAATCTCTGACCTGTCAGCATCCAAGGAATCTGTAGATGCTTGCAACAAATTCACAAACTCCTACACACGCATGCACAGATTTAATTTGCTTTCCGGGTCGCAATATCTGGCTGGTGAGTGGACATCTGCTGCTCACCCTTCACATACTTATCATGGGAGACCGTGCTTGATTTACCAAGAGGGCGGCTAGGGGAAATACATCGGAAGCGACACAGAAATGGCAAGTGCCACTTCCCCCGAACAGGTTCCTTTCCTTGCTGAAGTCTTGGGGGTCTTCGCATGCCCGCTTCTGTCTCAATTCCATGATACGGCAAAGCCCACGGTTTTGTTGAGAACTGTTGGTGGCGCCACCCGAAGATGGTCGGGCCCCAAACACGCTCACCCCAAGCGTGCTTTTGCCGGAAGTTGGCAATGTGTCTCTCTTTGGGAATGGAAAATCGACGGCCCCGCTCAAAAAAAAAGGTCTTCGTTCAAAATTTATTGCGGGCCGCGGCCATTTGTCCTCAACCAAACGGTGAAAAAGGCAAAGTCTCATGCTGTTGCAAAAACACACTTTGTTGCCAGCGGTTGCTCTTGAACCAGCAAAAGCGGAGGGCAAAGTACTAAACACGATGTTCTCTTTTGGGGTCTGCTTGGGTCCGGAGGTCAGGACCCTTAGGGCGACTCCATCTACCTCCGCCACTTTGCCCGAGGCAGGTACCCGCGGTTCAGCTCTTTCGGTGAGAGGGGCTCCCCTGCAGGACGCATGCGGTCGATCCCATAGAACCAACATGGGGTGAACCTTGAAAACAGGTTGATTTCTGCATGGATTCCCTCCTGAAATGGATCCCACCGAAAGGAGCCCAGTCGGAATATGTTTTTCAGAGACCTCTTGCGTCAGGCTCCATGGCAATGTGGGGAGGGTAGTTTCAATCTAAACATCGAAACAAGGGCGCCCTTCAACTCGAAGCTGTGAAACCAGCCACTTGCCTGGTCTCATGGCCACAGAGGATACCCATTCAACCAAGGAGTAGAACCTCAAGCTTAACACTGGTGGAAGGTCGCCCTACTCCCGCAGTTCTTGCGTGGGTGAAATTTCAATGAAGCAAATGCATGTCATTTGCGTAGGCCAATGTCTGGCTTTGGCGACACTCATGAGACACCCTCTTTTAATGCACCAAGTAGTCTCCGACTAAGTCTCCTGCCACTGGCTTTTCTGAGCACATATGTGAGAGTAAGCAAATATGAAACATCTGCACAGTCTACTATGATTCACCAAACTGGAACAACAAGGAACCCCAAATCAAAGGACCTTCACCGTGGATGAGCTCTTATTTTCCCACGACGGGCTCGTTACATGTTTTCAATGTGCAGAAGCATGGTTCCCTTTAAGACATCTGGGAATCGGGGATAGGGCAACTTGCGACACGCCTTTTACTTGGCATTCAGCCAAATAAGATATACACTAGTTTCACCACCCCAATGAAAGCTTATGCCCAGTGTCTCCCTTTGGGGGAAAAAAACACAAAAAACACGACGCCCCTGGTTTCAACCGTGCTGGTCAGTGAGACAAAATGTCAGCCGTAGATTCATCTGAGGGACAGGTCCTCCTGATCAATCAGTTGCCATTGCACTGGTCCTTGTTGCTTGCAAGAAGCGCAATATGCAAAACAGCTGGCCGGGAGCACACCCCGGACTTGTCCAGTATGGGTGAATACATCGGACGATCTCAGCCAACGTGCAAGCACATATCTTCCGCAATGGCGGTTGACACTGTCAGGGAAACAAATCAGAAATGGCCTCCCTTTTCTTTCCCACAGCAGAGCATTGTAGCGTTCTGGTTCAGAAGTTCATGTGATTTGTGTGCCAGCTAGCAGGACGCAAGCGGATTGCAAGCTGCCCCTCAACAACGCGACCTTCCGTGAAAACCCAGTATTGATGAGCTGGCTCGTCCATGTTCAGTACAGAGCAAGAGCAATTCAATGCAATGATAGACTGAAGAAAGCGCTCATGGTGCAGAGAGAACCATGCCCCCGGTCAAAAAGGCGCAGCAACCCCTGTTGGTTGACGCCAGTTTCCTCCAAATGATGATACCAACTTGATGTTGATTCGCTGTTAAACATAATCCCTGCAAACATCCCAGTAACATGGAACCACGAAAATGACTCCCCCAAAAATGAGATTCTTGTGAAATGTATGGTAATTTGATATAGTGTAATGCAATGAAATGCAACTCACTGCAAGGTATGCATGCATATGTGTAAGTCATTCGCATTCACGCCCAGCATTGTGCATCACCAGTTGGAAACAAAGGATTGACCCCTTCAAACCTAGAGTACAAATAGGACAAGAGTGACCAAACCATATTGAAAGGTCGTTGGGTATGTAAGCCTTTTGACGCTTCGCTGGCGCATCGCACCTTCAAGCTCCGCCATGCGGTCCATGAGAGTGGCCTTGGTCCTGAAGGGGAAACAGGCTCGTTCCAAGCGGCGCAAGCGCCCAGCAAGTTCAAAAGAAATACATCGTCGCCAGTTCCCCTCCCTCGCTTCAAAACAGGTTCCAAGCGGGGAGCATCCCCCTTTTTCGGGGTGCCTGTTGGGCCGATTCTATGTGTACGAAGGGAGCCCCACTCGCAAAAAAAGGAACAACGACTAGCCAAAAAGTCAGACACATGAAGAAGGTACTTATCCACTTCCGTTATCGTTGGAGATAGAGTAGGCGCATTGGAGTGAACGGACATAGGTCAAGCGTTTTGAGAGGTTTGAGACGAGTTTGACGGAAGTGCGACAACATGTCTACATCGTCTTTCTTCCACTAATCTGGTCAACAGTTGGGTTAAGAGAAATGGAACAAACGGGTCTTGCCTATCCAGGAAGAGTTTACGCGTACGTGTGGCTTAGTGTCGTCTCTGTGCGTCCATAACATGTCAAAATGGCGATGATGGGCCAGTGTTCATGTAATCTTTGTAGTTGTATCCACACACACACACAAAAGCAGGAATTGTACTGACTAGTTGCAACCTGATTGGCCAACATGTGCTCATTTGAGGGTGACCCTTGATGACGAGGGCGTTGTACATGCAAGCATTGGCGAGGGCTTATACGTCAAGAGTGACTTCATTGTTTAGAACACGAAATCACATACCGGGCTCAAGCAACATCAAGATTGTCTGAAGCGGGCGCCGGCTACGGGATAGTTGCAGCTTCGCTTGAGTACAAACAGCGCCAGACCCCAAAGACCAACCTGCTGCCCCCAAGGGGTACCTATACTATAGGGCCTATAGGGGAACCCCCCTTTTGCAGCTAGGCCCGCATGCTTAAGTTCCTAAGGCAAGAATGTGCGAGCCGGGCCGGGAGATTGCGCAGTGGACAAAGAAAAAGGACGGCCTTTCTTACTGACTGACTTTGCAGAGTAATTCATATTCATTTGCACCACTGCACCACAAGGGTAGAATCCATCCGGCAACTGAGTCAACCGCGTCAGTGGTCCTCAGTTGCATGTCCCGGTTCTTGATCATGTACGCCTCACGAATATCCGGGGCGGCATCCTGGCGTGCAAAGCTCGTGCAAGACAAACGCGGCCGCATCCATGTTCTGTTGCAACTCGATTCGTGTCAAAGCTAGCATCCTCCTCCCTTTTTGAGAAATCCAGAAGGAAACCTGCTACTTGGAGGGGCTCCTGATATTGATCCATCCCCAATTCAATTCTTTGGAATATCAGCCTGTGGGAATCAAATTGCCGGAAGCCCTAGCTCTATTGTTCGCCATTCGGTGCAGATTTGCGTTCATCTTGGCTTCGGGCATGCCTGTTCCAAGAGGCCTCTGTTTGCAATTTCGAAGGATTGTGCCAGGCAAAACCGCCACGACCAGTCTCCAAGGGACCGGCGAGGGGTCCCTCTGCAAAGGTCCTTGTTCATTGCTGGGGTCACAAAACAGGCTGATGGCCAATAGTTTCACGAACTCAGGTCTTTTGATTATTCAGCAAACCATAGTTGCTCAAAAGTCCAACCGCGCGATCCTCCAGATGACATCAATATCTTGCCGGAAGGATAGAAGCAATTGAAGCGCGTGTGCGTGCGTGTGCGTGCGCAAGTGCGTGCACGCGTGCGTGCACGTGTGCGTGCAGGTGGGCGTGTGCGCGTGTGCGCGTGTATGTGCGGCTGTGTCCCTTGTGGTTTTCCTTAACAACCACCAAAAAGGGTACCCTCAACAAAAACAAGTGTATATATATATATAAATAAATGCTACCCTTCCTCCAAATGTCTGCCTTTTTGCTGGGTTCAATGGTATTTGCGGTATTTTATGCATTTTGTTGTGCTTTGGGGAAAGCAGCAGAAAAAGGTGGCCTTATTGAAATCTATTTACATTCTATTTAGAAACTGGAAACAACATCCTGGGAAAAGGAAGTCCTCTTCAAATTCTAACTTGAAGCAAGAATCACAATTCAACATACTCTTCCAACAGGACAGCCTATTTACATCATCTTTAAAACTAGAAAGTATACTTGAATGTTTCACTGTTAGTTTCTATCTAAATTCCAATTAGACACTTGGCAAACTCAATGATGGTAAAAAGACCCGCTTCAAAGTCGAACTTGACATAAGAACTCCAATTGAGCATGGCATATTATTTTAACAATAGCCTACTTAAATTTGTGTTAAAACTAGACGCTCTACTAGAAATATGTCCTTGTTAAATTTGATTTAATGTCCGATCAACAAGTACAACTAGAACATGACTTTCAAATCCCATTTCAAACTCGACTTTGAAAAGGAAACCTATTTGGACTCTCTTTAAACTAGAAATCGTACTAGGATTATTTCCTTACTAAACTCCACTTCAACTTTTTAGCAAACTGAAACTACGACCCTCGAAAAAGAGCCAACAACAAATGAAGCGTTCAATTTGGTTGTTTGATCAATGCCATAATTCTAGTAGAGTTTCTGGTTTAACGATAATTTAGATAGGCTTGCTGCCTTGCTTTAAAATAAGGGTTTTAATTGAATTTAACACAAATCTTCTTTGAACAGGAAAACCCATTTCGTTTCTGGTTGAACTGGAACATCCTACTAGGAGTATGTCCTTATTAAGTTCAACAGAAGAAAAGGAGACCGCCTTTAAAGTTTATTTTGACACAAACAATCCAATTAAAATAGTCTTTGAACAAGACAACAAGGTTGACATTTGGGGGTGGTACCATATGTATATATATATATATATGTATATATATGTATATATGTATATATATATATGTGTATATATATATATGTATATATGTACAAGTGGAGGCTTCAGCAATCCAAAATGACCATTGGCAGATCTTCTCCTTCTTCTTCTTCTTCTTCTTGTTTGCAGAAGATTCTCTGCAACGCGGCACGCGCACACACACACAAACACAACCACAAACACAGCGACCCACCCACCCACCCTCCCACCCACGCACCCACGCACCCACGCACCCACGCACCCACGCACCCACGCACCCACGCACCCACGCACGCACCCACGCACCCGCGCACCCACGCACCCACGCACCCACGCACCCACTCACGCACGCACGCACTTTCACATGCACAAGCACACGCGCACACGCACACATGCGCACACAAACACAGACACACCCAGATATTTATCTGCCAACACATTCAACACGCCCACAAAAGGCGCATCTTTTGGGCTTCTCGTTCCTTCAGCTCAAATCGCTCGCACCGCTTGCCGCTTGCCACTCCACTTCTCGCATGCCGGGCTAGGCTCACTCGCTCACTCCTCCTCTTCCTGGCAGAGGAAGCAAACTCACATAGAATCAGCGCCACCTACTTGTGGATTGGCCTGTGCCCTGCCGACCTTGACTTACCTGGGTTGTGATTGTGGCGGAACTGGTTGAAGGGCCCCAGAAGGATTGATGCCCAACAAAACAAATCTTTCAACCACGTAGCTTTCTAACTTTCACCCGTGCCTCCCAAGTCACGGCCACAGGACATATCAAGGAGCTTCCTACAGAAATGAGTTGCTAATATTATGTTCACAGGCGCAACACGTTGCAGAAGACCATGTTGAATGTTTGTTTTCTGTGACAGGATCAGAATCGACTCAATGCGCATGCAATGTGCAGTCCACAATTTGAAGCACTTCCAGCCGCTCCCATCCTGCTTGGTTCTACCCCCTCGCACTTTAATTACTTGCATCTTGTTTCAGCCTTATCCTTCGACAAGGGAGCGGCCGATTTCGCCTGATCGCTTACAGTCGCGGTTATTTGGGACTGCTCCACCACCTACGGGCAGTTTGATGTTTGCTCCTGAAGCCGCATGAGCAAGAATAAGTTGAACATAGTTGAATCAGCCAACCATCTGTTTAGCATTCAGCTATGCCAATTGATGTCCTGACGGGTTTGAGGAGCTCTACCTGACTGAGATTACTGAAGAAACGCATGCTCCTTTTGAAGTTACCATTTTCCAAGTTCCATGTTGGAGTGCAAGGACCCCCGCTCCCAAAATTGGGTCTGTCCCGCCTGCGGGGCTGTTGCCTGATAGTGGGAATTGTTTGGCCCGCAAGCATGTTTGCAGAGCGATCGAAAAGGGCCAACAGCTCTGACTGTCAAGCCGCGCCAATCATCTGCGCAACTTGCAGTAATTCAGTAATTGAATATGGGCGTGCCTCATTCAGAGGGCACCTTTGGGTGTGTGTGGTTAATAAGGAATCCGACTGGCAACACCCCTTTGCAAGCGGGTTACCTCCGCTTGTACAAAGGATACCGAGAAAATAACAGTCATCTTGTGCGAGCTCGTTGTACCCCCGGTGAGCTCGCTTAACTCTTGAAGAAACATGGACATCTCATCTGCATTTGCACCTTTTCTTGAAGGAAACACGTAAAAGGGCAAGGCTGCATTGCTGAATTGCTTCATGCAGCAAGAGCGAGCCTGCCAGGGCGCGGAAGTGAGGGCAATCTTCAAGGAGTAGAGCTACCGACTATATGACAGCTACAACCCGCGAAGAAGAAATCAGATTTGGAGCCGTCAAGCGCATGTGGCGGCCAGGGGCACCCCACATGGGGTTAGAGCTTCGTAAGCGGAAAAACACAATTACCAACCCTTTCCGCCAATACGAAACCCAGGAAAAGGGTTGCTTGTGAGAAGGGTAATGACGTGTGTCCAAGTTGGCCTGAACCCTGGAGTAGATACCCCACTTGGACCCTTTTGAGACCCAGTAAAAAGCACGTATTGTGCATGGACATCCGAGGTACAAGTTGCATGCTGGGAACCTCGGCCGCCGGCGCCTCCTCGGCCGCCGCCTGCACGGCCACGGTGTCCAGCTCTCGCTGGCCCTCCTGCGAGGCTCTCACCACTCACATGGTCCCGACCCCCTTGGCTCTTTCACCGGACACGTGCCAGGCATATCCTTTTTTGCCAATCTCTTGGCTGGGAAAATGATTGACACATCTCATTTGAGATGGTCAGTGAGACAAGTGTTTCAGGGCAAATCTCAACACGTCCGTATTCGATGGCGAAGGCCACTAATCTAAACAAGGCTGTCGAATCATCGAATCATGCAGGGGGTTCTATGGAACTCTTTCTGGATGGCCATACTTGCCAGTCGTCGTCTGAGCGATCAAATCTCAAGCAGGTCTCGTTGGTGAGCGACCAAGTTTGCCGGTTGCAACGTTTTCGACTCATCAGCTTCCTTGCCTTGAGTGTATTCCTCATGTTGCACGTCTGTCTCTGCCAGCAGCAAGTATTGCGACGTGTTTGAGGTAGGTGTTGGCGCATGCACAAAGCTACCTCGGTAGTTTGTGCCTTTCCTCAGCGCGAATCCCAAGTAGATCAGCATACACGCAAAGAGAATGAGGAAGGTAGCGAAGAAGCAGCTACGATAGCCAAAAGCAACAGCCACGTGACCGCCGACAAAGGCAATTCCACCTTTGGTGGCCTTATTCAGAAAACCCCTGGTCATGTAGTTTGCGATCTCTTCTCTTGGGAGGAATTTGATCAGTTGCGCGAGATTGAATGACTTTGTGCAAGAACTCGATGATCTCATAAGGACAATACAGGGAATGACCACAACAAGTGGCATTCCCGGTATGCAAATAGTTCCCAAGAACACCAAGGCCAGCGCCCACAGAAAAACAACACCCAGTTTCACGTGATACCCATCTGACTTCAGTCGAACCAAGAGCTTCTTGGCCACAGGTGTAAGCACTGCTTCCATGATACTCTGCAGGAAAGCAACAGCGAACACACCTGCAGGGGAAACGCCACAATCAACCTGCGGGATCAGGTCAATGAACCAAGGAGAATCCAGCACCCAAGGCAGCAAGAAAATCGCAAACAACGATCACCTTGGCGCCAAGCAAATTTGGCGGGCGGATCTTCTCTGACTCTGCTCTGGGAGTCTCTGTAATGACGTCGGTGCTAGTCTCCTCAGGAAGCTTGATTTCTTCCCCTCCTCCTGTTGAACTTGGTTGAAGAACATCTGCGATCTTTTGGCTGCCACCGGTACCAAATAGCATTGCGCGCAAAATCCTCCAAGCAGAGAAGCTTCTTGGACGCATCAT